TTTATTGAACAGGATGGAATCATTTCAGATTTAAAGGACTTTCAGAAGTTTGAAGCGACTTTTGAGCGACTTTTCCTTTAAATACCTTTTTATATTTTTTAATAACCTTACCTATTTGCACTTTCCAGGATAATTTTTCATCAAACCAAACTCCTAAGAATTTTAATTGCTTTACTCTTTCTAGTTCCTGATAATATAACTTCGGTTTTACTTCTTGATTTCTTTTTGAGTAAAAAGCAAAAATTTTGTTTTATGAACAGAAAATTAAAACTCCACTTCTAAGACAATTGTTCCATGTTATGAACTGTTTTCTGGACTTTCCCTACAATACATTTTATTTTCCTTCCGCTTTCCAAATAGCTCCATCCTGAGGCCTGCGAGTTAATGTTCAATAAAGGTTGTTATAAAAAAGAGAAGATCTTTGCACCCGGAAGGAAAAGCCCAGAATGAGGAGAAGCGCCTCTCTCTACAGGTAGGTCCGAGTCCATCTCGGCTTTTCTGTGTTTTCTAAAGAAATAAGCGATTTATTTTATTGCATTTTAACGTCTGCCCGTTCTGAGCATGTAGAGAAATGATGCGTTTATTCCAGGTTTTAATGTAAAGTTAGTTTAAGCCTGGCTCAGGTGTTTCTCTCTGATGGACGTCAGACGCTCGGTTTCTAAGGGAGCGTCCACAAATTACTAGGCAGCTGAGAAACGTAGAACAAACAACAGCTTCATTTCCTGAAAGCTGTTGGCTGCAAATCACCCCGGTAACTAAAACCAGCCTGTTCCCCGGAGTATGTGTGTATGGAGAGCCGTTAGTAAAGTTAAGCAGTAAAAAATTAGGAGCAATATTTATGGATATTTGGCATGTTTCAAGAGAAAAATATAGGGATTTATTATTTTAGTTAATATTTTTTTAATTATGTCATTCCTGTCAGCAAGCTAAATATTAATTTTACCAAACTAAATATTATTTAAGATGAGTATTTAGCTAGCTAAATGTTTAGTCAAAATAATGAATTTTTGGCTCCAAACATAATATTTAGTTTGCAAACTAAATATTTAAATAGCTTGGTGCTATTTTTATTTGGCATTTGGTTTGAATTTTATTTTTTAAGATGTTTTTTTTTTTTTTTTTTGGCCGTTATTTAATGCAGACAGGAAATTGGGTAACAAGAGAGGAGAGATTTTGGGCAAAGCGCAGCAGGCCGGGACTCCTAGGACAGCCGGTATACTCTGCAGCAGCGCCACCTGTCTGGACATTTTATCTAAAAATGCTCATTTTGTTTTCAGCTTCCAGAAAAATGCTGAATTTTCAGTAAGAAATCTGAGGAAACTTTCTTGAAGATTTATGAGGAAGAGATGCTTACTTTGGGGCAGACATGGGAAATGTGGAGTCAACAAGTCATCTCCATGTCATGTATTTAATCTACCCAGCCAATTAACCAGGTGAGTCTAATCTGCACAGGTTGGTTCACCTGCTTCAGTGGCTGGGTAGAACAGATGCATGACATGGAGATGACTCCACATTTCATATCGCTGCTTTGGGGATGCAGTCCTCTGGAAATGACTTCCCCAAACCCACCTAAGGACATATTTAGGAAAAAGGGATGAAGACTATAAACATTTTTAATCAACATCTGATTATTTTGCAGCAGTTTGATTAATTTGTCGGTTTTAAGGTGCTGTATTAGATAAAAGCTTGTTATTAAATTCTAGATTCGTCAAACCTAAACTGTAGATTTCAGTCCTTTAAAAGTCTAAAACATGTCACGGTGACTGATGTTTCTTAGGCTGCTTTGAATCATTTTCTGTTGCAGCTGTTTTCCAACCTCCACTTAAAAAAATTAAAAAACAGTGTTAGATGAAACTTGTTGTGGGGATGCCAAAAATGCCAAATAAAATGTTAAAATTGTAATACTTAATACTGTAGACATTTTTTTTGTTGCTTTTCTATAGCATTGGTAGAAATGATTATTTAAAAAAAAAAATAAAATACCAAAGATCATTTGATCCATTTTATTGATTAATTTGCTGTAATTGGTTAATGGGTTCATGTCTGGTTCTAAACTCACTCAAATAGTCTAATTTTGTGAGTTTTGGAATTGTTATAAAAATGATTATATTCACCTCATTTACGGGCTTGTGATTTAACTCTTTATTCACGTTTCCATAATATATTTTTAAAAGTCACCATATTAGGATGTTTTTTTGTCAAGTAAGATTTATCTCAATATTTGTCCTCGGTATAACTCCTGGTTACGGCCCTGTTTCTAAATGACTAATTCAGTTAGAATAATTCATCCCTCTGGCAGATTGGGGGTTTATGTTCTAATATCTGTTTTTCTGGAAGCAGAGCAGGAGATGGATGACAGAAACCTTCAGCAGGACTTTGAGGACCAGTTCAATGATGTGGTCTCCAGACTGCAGTCCAAGCAGATGTTCCAGTCTGATTGGGACATCGCTTCGTTTGCAGTTTTCTTCATCTTCATCGGTGAGAGCTGCGCTGCATGTGGGAGTAGACCTTTCAGCTCTAGTTGTTCTGGATGCTGAGCAGCTGGAAACATTTTATTTTCTTATTTTGGACTCAGCCAACCGAAGGTTTGCTTCACTAAACCAGGGGTTAAAAAACATTTCAGGCTCTGACCTCAAACATAACACAGACTATAACATACGCTACAGTCTGTAATTATATACAAATATGCAGTGGAGTAATTAAATACATTTTCTTGAATGAAATTTAATGAATAATTTAAATCTGTTATTTCATACTTATTTCATGGGTATTTTATTTAATTGTGCATTTCATAATTCAGTGGTATATTTGATATGAATTCAATATGAATAAAATATAATTAAATTCAATTCAGTTTATTTCTATAGCTCC